AAATGTGAAAAAACTATACAGACTTAGAGAGTATTTAAAATACGAAGTATATTTTGTTGACAAAATTAAGAAAAATATATATGAAAATAGTTAAAATGGTCATATTTTTCTTAATTTTGGCTAAATCAACCTGAAAACTAACTCTACTCTTATTTTGATTATTAGAATAGTATAATTCGACATGTGAAATCAAAAGTTATATATTTAATAAAAAAATTAGTTGATAAAGCTCATAAGCTAGAAACAAAGATTTAAGATCTTTCAAACCGACTATTAATCTTTCAAAGATTTAAGAGAAAAGGGACAAAAACACCCCTAAAGTTGTCACCAATGGGAATCCATGCCCTTAAACTCTGCAAAAATCTTTATTATGCATGTTTTATAGGAGGGCAATTGCCCCCTTCACTCAAGGTGAACCAACTAGAAGGAAGTACCGAAGTACGAAGCAGCAATCGTTAACTTGCTCCCTTTAATTATTTTAATTTGTTTATTAACTAATTTTGTAAATTAGTTGACATATATGAAATAAAACGTAAAAACAATTAGATAGAAAAGAATCCATATTACAAATAGAGCTACAAAACTTCAGTAAAAAAAATAGTTACAAAACTAATTTGGTTTGACTTATCAGTCAATCTTTTTATCAAACTATTTTAAACCAATTATTTTAGCAAATTTGTTTAATAATCAAAATAAGTGCGGTTGAAATTACTTTTTTTATTATTAAGAGGCCGTTTGGAATCACTGTTTTTCGGCTTATCAGGCTTATCAGCAAATTTTTTCACCAAACACGTAACTTTTGCTTTCTCGCGCTGAATTGTGTAATAAACATAAAAAGTAAGGTTGAAGTTACTTTTCTGGCTGTTTTGGCTGAAGTTACTATCGATGATCATTTTAGCTATTTTTACATACTAGTATAATTTTTTCTTTATTTTATTAATAAAATATATTTTAATTTTTTTCTTAAATCAGCAGAATCAGCCAATGCAGTCACTTCAGCCAGAATTTCATAAATTTCAACAAAATCAGTCAAATCAGTCGATTTTTGTGCTACCAAACGGGGCTCTAAGTGCGGTTACTAAGAAAATTGACGAGATTGTGTGATTAGAATTAAGTTGATAAAATGTGAATAATGTAATAAAGTTTTGTAGTCGTTCAAATATTAACAAATATGATATGCGACAAACTTAAGATGTTTTTACTTGGACTTAAAAAAGGCGAACCAGCCCGTCCGGTCCGGGCCCGATTCGGGCTTTTTTGTGTGGGCTTGGGCTAGGTTTGGGTGGGCTGGGTTGGGTGTTTCCGAGGGGTTTGGGGATGGGGGATGAGGGGGTAGGGGTTGAAATAAATAAGAAAACAAAAAACAAATTGAACCGGGAATCGTACCACCCGGGACCGGCCCAGAACCGATAGACCCCCAGGCCGGTTCCGGGCCTTACTCAAAATATTCCAGGCCCGGCCGGGCCTAGGCCTAAACTGGAACCGGACCGGGCCCGGTCCACCACTACGTATATGCTTGTTCATTTTGAAAGGTCAAAAGAATAATTAAAAAGTACTGCCTACTATCTAGTATCTAGTATAGAGAAATGCTTAGTATACAGTCCACAAAGTGCACACAAAATCTCACTAGTTGCTTGTGTACACATGCAATTCGTTTAAAAAAAGGCAGGATTTGATGCCAAATTGTCTGTTTACACAGGCAATGTACAAATTTTGTGTACATCTTGTGTACGCCAAGAATGATCCGTATAGAGTATATGACCAAAATGAGAATAAATTATAAAAAATGACAATAACTTTAAGTTACTAAAATTATGAGCAGGTAACTGGAAAATTGGCGGATTCAGTTGATTCTACTAAAATTTATGAAGCAGTGGCTGAAGTGGTTGTATTAGCTGATTATGCTGATTTAAGAAAAAATATTTTTAAAAGATATTTTATTCATAAAATAAGTAAAAAATTATATGTATAAATAGCTAAAATTGTCAACTACAGTAACTTCGACCAATATATCCAGTAAAATAACTTCAATCTTACTTTTTGTTGTATGATTACATCATTCACGTGAAAACAAAAGTTTAGAGAAAACATACGATAGTTAAACAAAAAAGAGCAAACGTAGGAGATTAATGAAAATGTAGACACATTCATTTCCTCATGTACAATTTCCAATATTCATTACTCAATAGAACAGCTAAGAAGCGAATCAGAAACTTCCCGTAGAATATAATACCAATACCCATCGATGAAGTGTCTGCAAATATGAGAGAAGGGATTGGGAAAGAGGGAAACGAAACCGCGATCGATCAACTAACCGACATACGACGATCAGACGCTTTTGACCGCAGAAGAGTCGGGTCCGGGCGGGATCGGATTCGGATTGAGAGGGGCACGGACGTCGTCGTCGTCCGGGTCGTAATCCGGGTTGAGGTCGCGATCTAGGGCTTGGCGGCCTTTGTCGAGGCAAGGCTTGCAGGCGATCTCGATGGTGATCCAGCCTAGTGCTATGCCAGCAATTGCTATCAACGATGCTGTCAGCGCCCCCATTTCCTCCTCTCTCTGTCTCTGTTTTTAAGTTCGATCAAATTAGGTTGAAGTTATTGTGTTTGGTTTGTAAGGTAGGTAGGCGGGCGCTGAGATTGGGAATTTAGAGGATGATCAGAGACAATTTATGGACAAGGATGGACGAAGAAGAGGTGATTCTGGCTCAGGAGTCAGGACATGTTCATTCGGTCTAATGATCTAATCTATTTTGAACTAATTTTGTACAGGCAAAATTGTACCCCAAAAAGTAAATTGATTCAACTTGACTTCGATTCAAAGCTACTGCTCTAAAGTTCGGATATCCCACTTTTTGGTGATATCAACTATTGTTTATTGCACCTCATTTGTGAAAAATTTGTCATTTCATTTAAAAAACTTTTGACTTTGCACTACAACTAAAAAAATCTTCAAAAAAAATGTTGTGTTGAGGTGAAAAATGAAAGTTTTTTCAAAATTGATTGCAAATTCCAATATCATCCAAAAATTGGGTGCAAAGTCAAGTTTTCCCTACTATTTCTTCTAATTTGAATTAAAATCATGAAAATTTGAATAAAGTCGAACCAGATTAAATATTCAATAAATTCTTAATGTTACGTACTTACTCCGTCCTGTTGGAGGTTCTCATGGGTAAATGACACGATCTTTTAGAAAAATGAATTAATAAAGTAATTTAGGTAAAAATAAGATGAAAGAGAAAATTTAGAAAAAGTACAGAGTGAAAGTAATTAAAGGGAAATAATATGGGCAGGAATTGTGAAACTTGACATGTAATAATTAGGAAATAGAAATTTGAATAAAAGTGTAATTAAAGAGCGTAAATTATTTTCTAAAATAGAATGAGAACCTTTAAATGGGATACCCAAATAAGAAAAGTGAGAATCTTTCAATGGGATGGAAGAGTATATTTAAAAAAATAACAATCCCAAATTAAAATGAACTAAACAAACTCGAATTGAATCAAACCATAGCACAATATGACTTTCTTTAGTAATTTTTTCTCAATCCGTTTCAAACCAATTCGAATAAAAAACGATAAAAACTGAATTGATTTACCCACTCTTGATAACATTTGATTGATTTTAATTCATTTCAACTTTTATTTACGTTTTACATATTCAATATCACCTACACAATTATTTCACTTTTCTTAATAATAACATCTCAAATATAGGAGCAGAAGTAGTATTTACTATTGAGATAAACCCGAGTAAGTCAACAAGACCAAGGTCACCGGGTCACATTTAAAATTAGTGAAATCATTACAGAAATTTAACCATTAAAATTAATTGGTCATAATCATGGTTCTAAAAATCGCTAGGCGCTAGTCGGGCGGTTAAGGGGCGCCTAGTGCCTAGGCGGCCGACTAAGCCGATTTTTTGGCCGACTAGGCCGATTTTTTAACCGACTAAGCCTCTACTGTTAGGACCGCCTAGACCAATTAATCGGTCCGCCTAGACCGATTTTTAGAACAGTGGTCATAATACATAATTTAAAATTTGTTATGCTAACGAAGTAAGTTTAAATGGTTTGATTCTTTCATTTATTTGTTCCTAAAACAATTTTGTATCCACCCAACTATCCAAGAATTAATACATGATATACATTCTATCTATCTCATAAATGTCAAAATACATGTAATTAATACAAAGACAAAATCGCATATATGATCCATCAGTTATCCACGAAATTAAAATCTCATACCTACATTTCTGAGATTGTAAATGTCACCCTTCAATTGTCCAAATTGTTGTAAATGTGGTCCTTTAAGTAATGAAATATATTCTCGCCCACATTGTATATTTCACCCCTCAAAAGGACCACATTTACAACATTTTGGACAATTGAGGGATGACATTTACAATCTCAGAAATACATATCTGAGATTTTAATTTCGTCGATAACTGAGGGATCATATATGCGATTTATGCGATTTTCCTTTTTGTCCAGTATAATCGTTTGAGGCATCAAAATTCAAACTAATAATGTGAAAACTTAACTAAAGACCGTTGACTATCGCTATGAAAAAACGAGCTACATGTATTTAACATTTTAAGTACTATAAATGCAATCAATTAACAAAGAGAAATTTTATGGAGCATGTTACATGCTCCTTATTGAGCACGTTAGTTCACTTTAGGAGCCACATATAAAAGCACGGCCCATTATTAGGTTTTATTATTAATATCATTAATTATTATTATTATTATGTTATAATAATAAGAGTACTCACATTATATTCATGTAAAATTGTTGTTCTTCTCTTATAAGTTCTGGTATATGGAATATTTAATTCGGTATATTTACCTTAATAGGATAAACATAACTTCTATAAAAAATAGTACCCATTAGTTTAAAATACTTTAATACAATTTTATTTGTAATTGGATCAAAATACTCCTGCTGGAATTTTTTTCCACAAATTGTGAGCCTGTTTGGTAATATCCATATCAGTTGTATTGACCGATTCTGCTGAAATGACTAAATTGACTGATTCAGCTAATTTATGAAAAAATTGTAAATGTTAATCACTCCACCTACTTCTCTCATGTGCACACATGATTCATTGATAATGTTTTACTGATGTTCTTTCATTCTTTTATGTAAGTAAACAGATTTAAAAATTGACTGTTTGTTTTAGTCAGGTGAAAATGTGATTTGAAATATGAAAACGTTAATACATATAACTATATAAGATATAACTTTCACATGTTTTACAAATTTAAAAATATTTATAGCAAGTAACAATCGTACTACTTTTCAATTCAACCGGTTTAGGTACATAGTATTAGATCTCGAACGTCACTTCTCAAGTATTTAAATATAATCGTTCTAACTGTCTCATTTAATCATTCTTTGATGACAAAATTGCTTTATTTTATTTATTATTTTTTATATAAAATATAAACTTCACACGGTTATCTGTAAGCTAGGTCTAATCTATTTGTACTGTCCCGGGCCCAACATATCAAATGTCAGGGCTGAGCTTGACTTCAACCTTAACTTTTCTTATTATTATACAATTCAACATGTGAAATCAAACATTACGTGTTTGTGAAAATGTTGGTTGATAAGCTGAAAAAAACATGATCACCAACTAGGCTCTATATGACGATCTACCGCTCTACCAGAAATTTGTTCTCCGTTGTTGCTGTCGTTAGAGGCCTACGCCACTGCCATAGTTTGCTGCCGCCACCAACAAACTGATTTGGGTTTATAAGAGAAATAGGGAGCAATTAATTGGAGTAGAAATGGATTGATTAGTCCTATTTAGGTAAAACCAAACATATATTCCCGTTTTTTGAAAAAGTACTTCCTATATTTTAGTCTTAGTTTGGACACTTTTCTCATTTAATTATACATGATCTATTTCTTTTAATTAAATAATGGGAGAAGTTTCCAAATAGGACTAAAACATAGGTTTTCTCCCAAAATATGACCTACTAGTTTAACATACCTTAAATACGATTTTTTATTTGTGATTAGACCAAAATATCCTCATAGGACTTTAGCATTGATGCCCTCATGCCGCCAGATTGCCACTTGTTGTCGGAAAAATTCCTGTAGTTCCCCTCCGAGCTAGCGAAAATCTGTTGCCGTCGACTACCACCACCACGAATAGATCCCGCCAGCCGCCACCAACGAACGACCTTGGTTATGCAAGAGAACTAGGGGCCAATTAATTAAGTTAATTAGTTAGTTGATTAAATTAGGGTAGAAATAAAATGATCAGTCCTATTTAGAGAAAATCAAACATATGATATTATTTTTGGGAGAAGGCTATGTTTTATTCTTATTTTAGGCCATTTTTTCTTAAACAATCTATGGTATGGGGGAAGTATAATTTGGAAATTTATTTTTTTCAACTATTTGTGTCTAAAATTAAAGAATTAACCTGGTTAAATTTAATCTTACAAAAAATCTTGTCCACATTTATATTAGTACCATAGTATATTTTACAAGTGACTAAATAACAAATGCAACAAATATTTCATATTAAAATGACAAGGATCGAACAAGAGGAAATCGAATAAGAGGAAAAGTTGGGTCTCAGAACTCACTTAAGTTTAGAGAGTGTTTGCCATTGCTTAAAAAAAGCACTTTTCAGCTTTTGACTTAAAAAAAGTTGAAAAGAGTGTTTTCAAATGACAGCTTCTGCTTAAATTAATCACTTAGAAGCTAAAAGCTGGAAGCAGGTAGAAGGGTGCTTTAAACTGCTTCTCACTTTTTCTATTACACAAAAAGTACTTATTTTACCAAACACTACCAACTTTTACTTTTTCAGAATCACTTTTTTCTCAAACACTACCAACTTTTACTATTAATCAATTTTCCCAAAATCACTTTAAAAAATCACTTTTTTAAAGTTGAAACAATTGCAAACACTCCCTTAATCGCAATACTACCAGGCTTGATTACGTGCTCGGTTACAAGTTGCATATTAACAATCATGCCTAAATTAAAGAAGTGTAATATTACGGAATATTATTTTATTAGCTTTGTCACATCAAACTGCATGTATGTTATTAATTCTTATATTTCTGCACCTTACAATTAACCATAAATGTTTCAATAGTTTCACATGTTTACTTCTCATGTTGTTATTATGGGTGAAATTACGATCCTTTGTTTTTGTTTTCTTTGGTTAAACTTAACTAAGTCATTAAATGTTACGGATTATGTTAGAGATATTTTTCGCATTATGTTATTTTTGTTGATTATGACATTTTTCCCCTCTTTTCTTCTTCTTTTTCTTTTTCTTTTTCTTTTATATTTTTATACTTATATATAAACATTACTTTATCCTTTTTATTTTATCTTTTATATGTATATTCATCTATTTTATATTATCTTTTTTATAATAGCTTATCTTTTTTATCTTTATTTCCTTTCTTTTCTTTTGGATGATATCATGTATCGATTCATGTTAGCCGACCCCAATATCGTTTGGGACTAAGGCTTGGATGTTGTTGTTGTTGTTATTTTTGTTGATATTGTTATCGATGTCATTATGATTATTCTTGTTGATTCTACTACAATTATTACTACTCTGTATTATTATTTATAATGGTCCCTTAATGATTATTCTGTATTATCTTTTTAATAGGAATAAAAAATCAAATTCATTAACCATGAATAGAATCTGAACTCTTAACAGTAATAACTCATGTGTAAGAAGTATTAACATTATGTGAAGCCGGGTGTACGAACATTAATTGAGCTCTTTAAATTATCACTTGTCAATAATAATCTAAAAAGTGTCGTATAGTACACAAATTATAAAGTACTCCGTACTACTGAACTTTAGTCAGTATTATCGAAATATTTATAAGACCAGTTTTCTTTTACTGTTAAGACTCTAGGTATAATATTTTGGTCATCATTTCAATTTTCACCCCTCTTTGAAGTTAAACATCGTTTACCTGAATGCAAGAAAACCCAAGTATATATAAATAGATGATGCTTTGATTGGAATGGCTTAATCTGACTTTTCTGAAAGGAAAAATGATAATATCCTTTTAATACAAGTCAGAAGCTACTTACCCTGTTGATAAGCATAAGAAGCTAAATTAACCAGAACCAAACGGACCTAACCAAAGAGAACCTGTGCACTTGATGGTGATAATTCAGATAGGCTGTCGGGTGTTTCATCCTTAACTTGCCATTGAACACTGAAGCAAAACTCTTTACCACAATCCTTAAGTCGCTTCATAATAAGTCCGATGGCAACCTTAAGGTTATGACCTACAACGATTATCCTATTGTCGTAACAACTGACACAGAAGGGTTTGTATATCTGCTCTGGCAATGGAAGCCCATCGACCGTTTCCCAAGTATCTGTCTCAAAGTAGTATACCTTAACTTTTGCTTTTTCATGTTCCGTAACAACAAACAGGTGACCTTCGATCACAACACTCGAACCGGTCCAACCTTCTCTAAGTCCACAAGGTACACTCTCCCATGTATCGGTTTTCGGGTCATATGCTTGTCCCATAGGAACAACATAAAAAGGCCAAAACCAGCCTTCCGTTATGAAAAGCTTCCCATTCATAACGGCTGAATCGTATGAGGAAAGATACATTCCTATGCTCGAAACAGGTTTCCATGTCCCGTTATTAGGGTTTAGGACTTCGGCTGAGTTGAGCTCGAATAGCTCCGCTCCATTTCCACCAGCGACATATATCATCCCATTGATAAGTCCGATTCCGAAAAAGGAGCGTGGGGTGATCATACTTTTCATGACTGTCCAACGATTAGTCTGGAGCTCGTATCGGAGTACCAAATTAAGCGGATGATCTGTATCTGAGACCAATCCACCACAAACAAACATCACACCATCATGGGGAAGGGAGACACAACGGAAGCCATGTGCGGCAGCGTTTTCTTTGCATGGCATAGACGGGATTGTATGCCAAGAAAAGTTGGTTAGGTCGAGCACCTTCCATTGGATTTTGCCAGTGTGTTTGTGAAAGGCCATAACGAAAAGCCACGGGTCGTGAAAGGAGAGTTCTTTTCTCCTAGAGAAAAACTTGTCCTTGTGGCCGAAGAGCAAATACCATCGCTTACTAACGGCCCTACAGGAAAGATGGTTGTCAACTGGGATCCGGAGGAGGCAATTGAGAGCCAAGTCATCTGGGAGTCCAGGAACCAGGGCTTCTCCCTTCATAGCCAATTCATTGTCCCTAGAGGAATTATCTAGCAGAGAGGATCCTAGTTTGGCTATCCTGAATTTGGGGGACAATGTCATATTGGAATCCCCCAATTTATGTACTGGAGATTGTTCAGATGATACTCTTACCCTTTGCATCTTTAGCCTTGACAACTATAGAAGTGCTTCTTCAAAATATTCCATTTCCTTTCTCGAGTTACTCTGCATAAATTGAATGTAAATAGACTTCAGTTTTCTGACTTTATCATCATAAAGGCATATCACCATACACATTAAGATAATAGGTACCAAATCCCATGAACTCCAAAATAAATAAATATCTTCCACTCTAGCACATATAAAGATATTCATACAAAAGAGGTATCACCGTTTATGGATTATACACATATTTAGTTCTATATAAGGGTATTTCTCCATTAAGTAACTTTAGACACCAACAGTCGGTAGGAAATACTTTTATAATATTCTAACATGGCCCATTTGAAGACTCAAGTTTGGCATCAACTATTCAATTAGCAATCAACTTATTTCTTGACATACAAAAATACCCTTCTTAATTAGAGAAGAATATGACTGCTGAATAAAGGAATTCCGGGATTGATCACGTTTCTGATTCATTTTTTAAAGCTGAATCAGAACTAGTTTTCCAGGAATTGGAGAAAGAAACGATGTGAAGGTATTTATGAAGTGAAAAATTTAGAATAGAATCAGTTCTCTAGGACCTCTAACTTCTTCAAAACTAAAGCATACATCTTCTTCTGAAGTTCCCAATTTATATCCTGCTCCTATATGCTCCTTGAAGAGCATAGTTAGTGTATGAAATCAGTTCCAAACACAGCCAAATTGAGACAAAATCGCATACAAGTCAAGAACCATATTGGGTCTTGACCAAATTGACAAATACTGACTGTATAATCAAAGGAGCAAATGGGTATTAAGTATTAACTCTATCTTTTTTTAGAGTAAAAAAGATAATCTGGAAATTGGAAAACTGGAATCAATACCCAAACTGAAATTGGGTATTAAGTATTAACTCGATCTTTTTCATTTAACTCTATCTAGTTCCATGAAATTGGAAAACTGGAATTCGAAACAGGTATTGAATCATTCATTAATTCATTCATACCAAACAGGTAGTTAGAAACAACTTCAGGGGGGTTTAACTTCTTCAGAACTTCAGAAAACTAAAGTTCCCAACTTCAAGAAAACCAAAGCTCCCAACTTCATGAACTAATAGAAAGAAGCTAAAATGGAATTGAAATTACAGAAGAGCAGAGCAATAAAGGTAGAAACCTGGATGAAGGAAATGGATTGGATGGGCGTGAAGAAGACAGTTCAGTTCAGTTGAGCTGTTGTTCTCATAAGAGGGGAAGGATCTGTTATTTTTGTTTTCATCACAAAAACTTTGCTGCGGCAGACATTATTTGTGTATTGAAACGCGGATTCAGCTCGACCATGTGGGAGCGTCCCATGGACACACGGCCCTTCGTACGAAACGCAAGTCCGCAACCAGCCATGTGCCCAATGCCCGACCATGGGAAATTCCAGATTTTGGTAGATGATACTAGTATTTGAGATATAAACCCACTTGTTCTCCAAAATTTTCACACTTTTTCAAAGTTTTCAAAACTTTTTAGACGAAAAAAATGTGACTCATAAGTTTAATCCCTCGATAGTTGGTACGTTCTTGTACAGCACCCTTATTTTTAAACTAGTTCACATGCGTGCATTGCGCGATGAGAAAATGCGCAATATATTATTTGTGTGCATTTGCCCACATAAGCTTCTTTAGGTTGGAGATATAGTGTATGAAACATAATGGATTAGTATGTTAGAGTTATTGAAGAGTGTTCCAAATGTGCATCTAGTATTTTAGATAGTGATATAGCTAATGACAATTTTTATAAAAGAGTGACAGATTTTCTATGATTGTATACTGTCACCAACCCCGACTAAAATAAAAGTACTTTCTTATAAGTATAAAATATTTAACATCCTAAATATTATAATCCATACTAGTCAAAATTATGGTCTAAATTTTACGGAGTATCATTCATTGAGTTGAAAAATCAAATGGTAATTCAATTTAATATTGAATGGAGATTTATGCAAGGTTAATGGTGATAGAGTTAAGGGAAGGAAAGGTCTTGACATCTGACATCTTAAGTAGGGGTGGCACAAATACCGAACCAGCATGATACCGAACCGGACCGTATGGTACCGGACCGATAAACGGAGTTTGAAACGGATCTCAAATAATTTTGCCCTGAACCAGACCATATCGGTTCTAAACAATGCCATGACAGGTAACCAAACCGGTACCGGACCGAACTGGACCGAAGTATGGTTTAATACTTTAATTATTTAAATTCGTACTACTATAGTTTATCTGAAATTTATTAATTACCTCAGCTCATCCGTCCCAAATTGATTTGCAAAGTACGCAATTTTTTGTCAATGTTAATGTTAAGTCCTACCTGATGATAATTAATGCAATTATTAATAATTAAAATTTACATATTTAGATACCACATTGAAATCTCTTTAAAGTTGCAAAATCCAAATTAGAATATGCGTTGTACTTTATTTGAAAGGCCAAATTAGAATATAATTAAAAAGTGAAACCCTAATTAAGTGAATAAAAATAAATTATTTAACCAAAAAGGTTGACTTTGCAAATCAATTTGGAACGGAGATAGTATGAAATACGAAAATTGAAAATTTGTGTGGATTTTTTAAGATGGCTAAACTTTAATGTTTTCCTAAACACTTGGAAAAAATGGCATTGTTTGGTATTGGTATGGCATGATACCGTCCCGTTTGAAAATGGACCGTACCGAACGGGTTTAGGTCTAAGACCGAACCGAACCGTTTCAATAGTAACGGTACGGGTATGGATTCGGAAAAATATTGGACCGGACCGTGCCCACCCCTAATCTTAACTTAACGGAGCAGACTTCTTAATTTCACGGATCAATTAAGTAACACGGGAAAATGAAAGGAGAGTACAAAGTGGAAAGTGTAGTGTACATTCTCCTGTTGCTATAATGTTTCACCAACACATTTTTCAAACCTAAAAGACCCTAATCTTCATTGACCTTTATAAGATTTTAGATAAGGGAGTGAGAGTACTCTTTCGCTAACGCAGTGCATTTTGTTGTTACTCCAAATCATGTTGAACAAACATGTTAGCCACTCAATGCCTTTCTCTCCCAAACTTTTCCAAGCCTCAAACGGTATGCCATCTGGACCCACTACTTTCTTCCGCCCTATCTTTCTCATAGCCTTCTTAACTTCTGTTGTTTGGATCCTTCTCACAAAGTCCCGATATATCATACACACTCGTATAGTAAGATCGTCAATTCTTTGCACTTTATTCCCGTTAAATAGTGTATCAAAGCATGACCTCCACCTATCTTTTATTACTTCGTTCTCTATTAGTACCTTTTGATCGACATCTTTCACACACTTAACTTTTCGGATATCTTGAATCCTACGGTCACGAAGGCAAGCAAGTCTCTAAATATCTTTTTTTTTTTTTCTCCTTCCTTAAAGTCCAATTTTACATATATATGAATTTCCGTCCTAATAAAGGTAAGGTACTTGATCAGAAGTTTTACATGTTATCAATTTTTTAAGTTAAAAAATCTTGTGGTTATAATTTTCAATAACTAAGAAAGTATTAACACAATTGCAAATCTATCTAAGGCTTATAATTTTAGTCATTATCGCATTGAGTTTAGAAAACATCCTAAAAAAGAGATTGAGTTTAGAAAAATAAAATATCACATTTAGGAAATGGAACACTATTTTTACCTTTTTATTTTTATAAAATAACTTTGAAGAACAAAATTAATAGGAATTTGGATTATTTATCTATTAGGTGGGGAAAACACGGATAATTCATTTCTCAATAGAATGTAATAAAAAATGTATTATATAGTTTTTTACAATAATTAGTACGTAACTTTTATTATATAATTTGATACATAATATTTTGTCCAAATATAATGTATTTGATAAATATTTTGATACTTACTGCAAAATATATTTTGATACTTACTAACTAATAGGTTATGTATTATTTGCAATATTTTGATAAAAGGTTATGTATTATTTGCAATATTTTGATACTTACTGCAAAATAATACATAACCTTTATATATATTTTGATACTACAAAAATAATTAAATAATTTATATAATTATTTGTCTATAAAAGTTACGTAGTATCAAAATATTGCAAATAATATGGAGTAAGTAAAGGTTCTCAAAAAAAGGTGGATTATAAAAGATTGTACAATATTTTGTTTCCATATCAATATGCAATAAAAAATAGAATGTAATAAAAAATAAAAAGTAATTGAATAATTATTATATATGATGACATGGCAGGATTATGTGGCACACCGTATGCTCTTAAAAAGTTCCTCTTTTATATATATATATATTGATTGTGTTAGAGGTCTATTGCAATAGACCACTATGCAAAATTGAAATTTATTTATGCTTTACTCCGTATAATTTATGAATTACAATTTATGCTTTACAATTTATGAATTACGATTAATGCAATTGTGCTATAAATCTTATAATAATGCTTTTTTTATACATTTATTTTTTTTAGTGATTAGACATAAAGTGAAGCTATAAAGAAAGCATTCACACACTGAAGCAATTTTGCAAGGATTTTAGCTAGTGCAAATTTGCAGGACATATTATCTGCTTTTTCTCACTAATTATTTTGGTATTTAGATGTAAACACTAATTTTATCACTTTCAGTTTAGCCAATATCTAATATCTAATTTATTATCAACTTTAATAGTTATAGTTATGCTTTCATAAAATTTTCAGCACTCTCTCAAAAAGTCTCCTGGTTCTGCCACTGTATTGAAGTTTACACTGTGCATCTTTATATTATTTGTATTGCATATTGAAGTTCAAAGTGTTGCATATTATTTTATCTCTAATATATATTGGTGGCGTCTTTTTTAATAATTTATTTAATTGACTTTAGAATTGAATTTTTAAACTGAAACTTTGTGAACATTATAAAAACAATTAGATATCATGAAAAACATGCTTGCAAATTTTCATAAAAAAGTTTTACTCAAAAGCACTTCAAATGGACTTGATCAGATGGGACTCAGGTCAATCGTATGAGAAAAGTTCTCTCTATAATACAGAGTACTTGACAAAGAGATGTTGCTTGGTATCAAAGAGAAAGCTAAATCATACTACCTCTGTCCCTAAAAGAAGTTCCATTTCGCTTATCGAGGGTCAACTTAAATCACTCTTAAACTCTTACTTTTTATATCAAAATTTTATAAAAGTTGAATTATTTTTTGCAGGTTTTGTAGCGGGTTTAATGTAGTTTCCGAATATGTAAATTTTATTTACTAAAAATAATCCGAGTTTTCACAGGGATCATTTAACTTTATCGTCGGTCAACCTTCGTAATCCGCAATTGGAACAACATTTAGGGACGGAGGGAGTAGTAAACTCATTTTTACATGGGAGCAAGGTCATGGGAATTTGGAAGTAAAAGCACCATGGACACAAACCAGGTACGTACAAAAAATCAATTCATTTTTTTAATTTGATTTTTTATATTGAAAATATAGAACACATTTCATGAAGTGAGGACAGATCTAATGTAGGTAAAATAGTATACTTCATCATCTTTATTAATTTATATATCACACATAAATAATTATATCAAGTAGAATAATCCTTCATTATGATAAATTAAACGTGTTTAATCTAATCAACATTTAATTAATTCATTCCATTTTCAATATTATGAATTACTGTTTACCTAATAAAATATATCAATATCTAATTCATTCTAGCAACTCAGTTGGAAGTTATAGTCACTTGTTGTGTGACCCACACGGTCTTATATATTGAATCTATTGACCACTAACCAAATTAAGATTATAGTAGAATACATAGACGATTTACCAGACAAGCTTAATATTTAAAACGTTGGAAAATCTTGTTCCTCACTCTAGGGTTTTTAACCTACGGAGCTTTTGTCGTGAGAAGGTTGCTGCTCGTCGTAGGGAGCACCGTTATGCTGAGGCTGTGGCAGCCCTGTGTGGTAGCGAGTCTACTTTTTCTTTCTTTTGACATTTTGATCGAGTGCAGGTTCAAGAAAGGATAATCATGGCTTCTATGGATGATGTAGAGCAGTGTTGTCTCATTCCAGCAATTGAGGAGGAGGCTGAATGGTTAGTTTTTGGTGGATCGAAAAGGGTGGAGGGCGGTGGCGGTAGTGGAGACGGCACAAGCGACAAGCAGAAAGGAAGAGGTGAAAAGTTGAGTAAGGGAAAAGACAAATCGGCAGTCCCCCCCCCCTCTTGAACTGCGCGCCGCCTTGGAGCGATCAATGTGCTGGGGTTTCGGAGTTTAGTCAGTTATTTTATTTTTAAGGTCTTATTTTCGTGTTGTGTTTTACGTTGTTGCGCTCCATTTTTGTTGATGTCTTTAGTTTTAGGTTTACAACAACGATTGACAATTCTGCTAGACATTATGTCATTTGAAGGATCTATTTGGCCAGCGATTGTTGTGTCACACCGGTTTGGTGGTTAGCGATTCATATTGCTCTTTCAGGGGCGATCGCCTCTACATCTAACCATAGGATTGATATTGCTAGTTCGTTACGGATAGTTGTTGTCAGTGTTGGTCTCTATGAGTTTGTTATAACGATCCGATTTCTAATGATATTAATATAAGCGGTTTTTCCTTTCAAA